CCTCCTTCCCAGGCCTGGGCCACACGCACTGCATCTTCCACTCTTGTGTATTTATTCTTTCACCTTCTGCGCGGCTCCTTGCTGCAATTAAAAGGAAAAAAAGAAGACATTTTGGAAACCTGTTTTTGTCCCTCACAATCGTCTGCCTTGGGGCCAGAGGTTCTGGTGGTTGAAGGAGTGAGGACAACAATATAGAAAAGAGGGAAAAGTTCTACTTGTTATCCACCCACTTGTACTGGGAGCAGTAACAGAGCTGAGCAGGATTATGCCCACTTTGAGTCAGGAAATGGAGTCCTAAACCCCCTGCCTGATTGAGGAGCCAGTGGCAGACCTGCTGTTGTCCTCACCACTGACTCTATAGGACAGAGTAACAACTGTCCATAGGGTTTCTGAGGCTATAAATCTTTACAGGAGCAGCCTTTTTTCTCCCTCAGAGTGGCTGGTGGATTTGAACCATTTACCTTGTGGTTAGCAGCGCACTATGCCATTTGGCCCAAAATTTCAACAGCACTCACTGCCCAGTCTGGATGATAAGGGGAACTATGAGAATCACTCCTCTTAGTCTGTCTGAGCCTGGGAATCAGGTCTCCCACCTCTCTGGGGGTTGCCCCTGGACACAGGCACTGTAGCATCCCCACTTCTCAGATGAGGAAAGGGAGGCACAGAGAGATTGAGTACTTTACCTGAAGTTACACACCGCCTGGATGTGGCAGAGTCAAGATTCCATTAATTTGCCCAACAAGTCTGATTTTTAAATTTACTACATTTTAAATTTGGTGAATATATATATACATTTTTTACTTAAAAAAAAATCATTTTTCATCACAGCAATATTCACAATACAGATGGAAACAACCCAAATGCCCATGAATGGAAGGGTGGATAAACTATGATATATGCACACAAAGGTTGGTTGGTTATGTGCTGTGGAGTCGGTTCCGACTCATAGCGACCCTGTATAGGGTTTCCAAGGCTGTAAATCTCTACTGGAGCAGAAAGCCTCATTTTTCTCCCATGGAACAGCTGGTAGTTTTGAACTGCTGACCTTAAGGTTAGCAGCCCAATCTGTAACCACTATGCTATCAGAGATCCTTACACACAAAGGATGTCGGTAATGTGTAAGAATAACAATGAATCTGTGATTCCAACACCTCATACCATGGATGAACCTATAGGCCATTATGCTGAGTGAAATTAATCACCGACACAAACCAACATACTTTATTCTCAACAATCAGTGTCCATGGAAGCAGCAGACAAGAAATCAAATGACACATTGCATTGGGCACATCCACTGCAAAAGACCTCTTCAGTGTGCTCAAAAGCAAATAAGTCACTTTAAGGGCTAAGGCGTGCTTGACCCAAGGCACGGTATTTTTAGTCACCGCGTGTGATGTGACCACAGGACCGAGACATGAAGAGTTGATGCATTTGAACTGCGGTGTTGCTGAAGAATATTGAGTCTACTGAAGACTACCGGAAGAACAAACAAATCTTTTCTTGGAAGAAGTACAATCAGAATGCGCCTTAGAAGTGAGGTTGGTGGAACTTAAGTTCACTTAGTCTGAATATTTGTTGTTTGCTTTTCCGTTCGCTTATTCAAGACCCTGGAGTCGTAGCGTGGTGCTACAGGATAATGTACTGGCCCACAAGGTCAGAACCAACTCAATGGCACTTAACCACAACAGTAACTGAAGACCCTGGTTCCTACTAATACGAACGTATCTGCTACTTTTCTCAAACCCATAATACACATGATAGTTTCAGAATTACTACACCCACAGACTCCCAACTACCAGCCCTGCTAACCAAAGTTCATCATTTCTTTTTATCTTTAGACTCAGCACTGTGTTGGATGAAGAGTTACGTGGGCTAAGGGTTTTTTCCTTCTGTTTTCTTCAATGTGATTATGTTGTTCATTTGGAATTGAATTCAGATCCTTTGTTTTCAATTTTAAATGTTGTTGTTGGGTTTTTTTGTCTTCTAAACTTGTTCATTGATTTAATACTTTGGGGTATAGAAAACAGTAACAAAGTTTTAAAGAACTATGTTGTTGTTGTCGTTGTGTGCCATCAAGTCCATTCCGACTCATAGTGACCCTGGTGGATTTGAACTGATGACCTTGTAGTTAGCACTCCACTGCTTTATGCTACAGGTTGGTTACCTTCAAGTCAATTACAATTCCCAGAGACCCCCATCTGTGCAGAATCGAGTTGTTGCTTTCTAAGGTTGTGATCTTTATGAAATCAGATTGCCAGGCATTTCTTCCGTGGAAATTCAGGGTAGACTTGACCTTCCAACCTTCCAGCTAGAGCACAGAACCATTTGAAAGTGATCAGGGGACTAGCATGGGATTGGGCAGCGCTTTGTTCTGTTGTATACAGGGGCATGGCTCAACGGCACAGAAAGCCGGAGATGCATCTAAGTTACCCAGGGGTGCCCCATCACCAGCTGTAGCCTAAAACTAATGCTTTCCTACTTGAATGGCTCCATGGGTCAAGGCCGACTGCAGAGCGTAGAAAGAGGGCAAAGTGAAAACAGTGATTCTGTGCCCATCATGGACCGGTTTTCATTGGTGAAAGTGAGGCAGCACAGCTGTCATCTTCCAGCTGTGCCATTGTAGTTAAAAGAGGAATGAGATTGATTTGTATTTTTAAGCAGCAATTATAGTAAAGTTCTCTAAAAGATGGAGGTTAGAGGTTTAGATAGGGGCACGATTTTCCGTACAGTTGCAGCTGCTTACAGCCCCAGCTCCTCCAAGAGGCAGTACTTCACTGGAAGGTCCGTGTGGGGCTGACCTGCTGGCGTCCAGCTGACTGTCTTACTTAATTCCAAGTTTGCTGTCTGGGTCTGGAATCAGGGCTTGAACAAGGGCCAGGGGGCTCAGTCTGGATTGGGGCTCAGCCAAGATCAGGGGCTCAGTCAGAATGGGGCTCAGTTGGGATCAGGGTTGTGTTGGGATCGGGCTCAGTTGGGATCAAGGTTCAGTTGGGATCAGGGTTCAATTCTCAGTGAGGATCAGGACTCAGTTGGGATCAGGGCTCAGTTGGGATAGGGGCTCAGTTGGGATGGGGGATCAGCCAGGGTTCGGGCTTAATTGGGATGGGGCTCAGTTGGAATCAGGGTTTAGCTGGAATCAGGGGTCAATCCTCAGGATCAGGACTCAGCTAGGATCAGGGTTCTGTTGGGATCAGGGTTCTGTTGGGATCGGGGATCAGTTGGGATTGGGGATCAGCCAGGATTCAGATTCATTCAGGATCATGGCTCAGTTGGGATTGGGACCCAGTCAGGATCGAGGATCAGTCTGGATAAGGGTTCAGTGGGGACCAGGGCTCATTTGGAAGGTTGAGCTCAGTCCAGGGTCAGTCCTATGCCCTTCATGGTATAGGATGCCTCTCAGGAGACACCCAGCTGGCATGGCTGGCTCCACCACCTCCTCCCTATGGCCAAGGGCACCACTGTCTCAGGAAGACTCAGAGAACATGACCTTGGGGTGGGGCAGGGGCAAGGGAACAGATGGGGAACCTGCAGGGGAACTCCTTGGGGAGGCCTGGGAGACACCTAGTGGGGCTGGGTGGGGCTGGAGGAGTGGGTGACTGGGGGGTGGGAGGAGGGGCCAGGTAGGGGACACATCATGGTCATGCTGGGCCCCTACGCCATTCCCACCCCCCAGACCTAAAACACAGCCCCGAAAGATCACATGGTCTCAGGCACACTTACAGACAGTTGGAGGGTGTGGCCCAGGGAGGTTGGGAACTGTTTCCGCCAGAGGGGGGGCCGACAGCTGGTCCCTCCTGGGCTTTCAAGGACCAGCCAAAGCACCCTCTTTGGGCCCCATCAGCCGACGGTTGAGTTTCCCCCTCCCTGTCTCAGCCTCATCACCACCCTGGGGGTACCTTGAACATAACAGGAAATTTCAAACAACAGGAAACAGCCTGGGCTGGCAACAGCTCCACCCTGCCGGGCCCAGTCACCCCAGGCCTCAGTCTGCCCAGGGGCCCCGCTATGAATGCCACAGGGTCCCTGGCGGCAGGGCCCCCAGACTCCTGCCAGCAGCTGGCCGTCGAGGGGCACAGCCGGCTGATCTTGCTGCATTATAACTTCTCAGGGCGCCTGGCGTGGCGCAGGGGGCCCGAGGATGGCAGCCTGGGGGCTCTGCGTGGTCTCTTTGTGGCCATCAGCTGCCTGGTGGTGCTGGAGAACCTGCTGGTATTGGCTGCCATCATGACCCGCATGCGGTCCCGGCGCTGGGTCTTCTACTGCCTGGTGAACATCACGCTGAGTGACCTCCTCACAGGTGTGGCTTACCTGTCCAACGTCCTGCTCTCGGGACCCCGCACCTTCCGTCTGGGGCCCACTGAGTGGTTCCTTCGGGAGGGTCTGCTCTTCATGGCCCTGGCCGCATCCACCTTCAGCCTCCTGTTCACCGCCATTGAGCGCTTCACCACCATGGTGCACCTGGTTGCTGAGAGCCGGGCTACCAAGCGCGTCCGTGTCTACGGCTTCATGGGGCTGTGCTGGCTGCTGGCCGCGTTGCTGGGAATGCTGCCGCTGCTCGGCTGGAACTGTGTGTGTCGCTTCCAGCGTTGCTCCAGCCTCCTGCCGCTCTACGCCAAGGAGTACATCCTTTTCTGCGTGATCGTCTTCGCCGCCATCCTGGCCACCATCATGGTACTCTATGGCGCCATCTTCAGGGTGGTGCGGCTCAACGGGCGCCAAGCCCCCCGGGCCCGCCGCCTGCTGCGGACGGTACTCATGATCCTAGTGGCCTTCGTCGTGTGCTGGGGACCCCTCTTCGGCCTGCTGCTGGCCGACGTCTTCGGCTCCAACGTCTGGGCCCAGGAGTACCTGCGGGGCATGGATTGGATCCTCACGCTGGCTGTGCTCAACTCGGCGGTGAACCCCATCATCTATTCCTTCCGCAGCCGCGAGGTGTGCCGGGCCGTACTGGGTTTCCTATGCTGCGGTTGTCTGCGGCTCGGCATTCGAGGCCCCCGGGACTGCCTGGCCCGGGTGGCAGAGGCCCACTCGGGGGCCTCCACCACCGACAGCTCGCTGAGGCCCAGGGACAGCTTTCGGGGTTCCAGGTCGCTCAGCTTCCGCATGCGGGAGCCCCTGTCCAGCATCTCCAGCGTCAGGAGTGTCTGAGGTCAAGTTCGAGAGAATAGGACAGCCACCAGGTACTGCGTGACCACGCAGTGAGACCAGGGGTCAGCCGAGACCTTGAGGTTCTCCCTGAAGACTTGATACCACGTTTCTGGAAGTGTCTTTAGGAGGGAGGGGAGTGGGTTCGCCTGCACACTGGCTCCTGGCAAGGGGGCTGCTAGGGGCAAGCTGTGGGTTGGATACTCTAGCAACAAGGACATTCAATGATGGTACCAGATGTTCCCCCCTCCCTCTTACTGGTGTGTGCGCATGTGTGCAGAGGGGTGATGTGTGGGGTGTGGCCTTGCAGAGAGTGGGTAGTCTGTGTGCTTCTAAGGGCAGAGTGTGTTTTGGGGGGGGGGGGATGAGCACCCTCCACTGTGTGAGAAGGAGAAACAGAGAGAGGAGAGATACAGAGAGGGAAAGACAGGCATCTCCGGGTGCTGTGTGTTTCCTGACTGTGTCTGTGTTTACCATGTTTCTGAGTATGTGTGTGAATCAGTGGGTGTGTGTTCCCCAAGTGTAGCATAGACGCTCCTGTGTGTGTCTGTTCTCTTGTCTAAGGGTGTGTGACACATGTGTGCGTGGACACCGTGTGACTTCATACACAGTGTATGTGCGTGTGGATGTATGTGCTGTGTGTACCCGTGCATGTGTGTTTGTGTGTGTACACATGTATGGTGTACTGTCTAGACACGTTTGCATATTGTGTAATGTGTGTTTGTGTATGTTTGTGTGTGTGCTGTGTGTGCATGCTTGCATGCGTGTGCAATGTATGCAGTGTGCATGCATTTTGCACATGTGCAATGTGTGTTTGTGTGCATGCTGCATGCATGTTTGCTTGCTTGTGCATACGTGCCTACACCTGTAGTGTGTGTGTTTGCATGCGTGTGTAATGTATGTTCGTCTCTGTTTGTGTGTGCATGTGTCTGTAATGCATGTTCATGTATGTGCTGTACTGTACATGTTTGCATATGTGTGCAATGTATGTTCATGTTCTGTATTGCATTTTGTGCTTGTGCATGTGTATCTACTGTGTGCATACTTGCATGTGTGTGCATGCATGTCTGTACCTATACTGTGTTTTCACATGTGTGTCTATGCAGGTGCAGTGTTGCATGTTTGTATGTGCACGTGTATATTACCATGTGCATGTTTGCATGTGTGTGATGCGTGTTCATGCATGTATATGCAATGCATTTTGTGTGTATGCTGCGTTGCATGTTTGTATGTGTGTGTGGTGTGTAGTCATACTTGTGCCTGCTAACCACTCTGACCATAAGTGTTTAAACAGCAAGCATTTCTGGCTGTTGCGAGACTTCCCATGCCTCCCCTTCTCGCTCACTTCCTCTTTCCCAGCCCCGCCCCATCTCAGGCTGGAAGTCCCCAGGACGCCTACTTTGTCCAGCTGATTGTTCACAAACTAAAGTTGAACTGCCCCATTGGACTCCAGGCTCTGTGTCTTTTGAGGACTGTGTCGGGGGTTGGGGGAGACTGGCCTGGGGGACTCTCATCCATTCCTCTAGTTTTCCCTTCATTGCTAGCTGCCTCACCCTTCCCCATCTGTGAGATGGGCGCTTGGCAGGAGCTACAGCCCGAGGTACATGACCGGAGCTTGTCCCACGGTTTGATGAGCCTTCCTGCCTTGGTGGAAATCTTTTGTGTCTGTCTGTCTGGCCGGGTGACCTCTGACCCTGTGTGCCTGCTGAGCACCTGAGGGGCGGCCAGTGGAACCGATACTGTGATTTAATGTGAACTGGCTTCCATTTAGACAGCCCCGTGTTGTTGTGGTTGAATGGCATGGAGTCAGGTCCGAGTCCTAGTTACCTTGTAGAACAGAGTAGAACTGCCAATAGGGGATCTGAGACTGTCATCTTTACAGAAGCAGATTGTCAGGGCTTCCTCCTATGGAGCCATTGGGTGGTTAGAACCGTTGACTATTCAACTGAGAGCCACTTAACCCTTGTGCCATCATCCAAAACCCACCCCACTGCCAGCAACTCAATTCCAACTCATAGCAATCCTGTGTTGTTGTTACGCTCAAGTTGGCTGTAACTCAGCCACCCCACGGCCAACAGAAGGCAGCCGTGCACCACCCTCACAACTGCTGTCACTCTGAATCCATTGCTCATGCTTTGCTGTCCATCCATCTCGTTGTCCCTCTATTTGACCAGGGACTGGTCCCTCCTGACAATATGTCCAAAGTATGAGAGACAAAATCTGGCCATCCTGGCCTCCAAGGAGCAGCATCTTGGCAATACTTCTACCAATACAGATTTGGTTGTTTTTCTGGCAGACCACGGTAATTGTGGAGTCCTGGTGTGGCGCTGTGGGTTAATGCACCAGACTGCAAAGCCGTTTGAAATACAAGGTCGGTGGTTCAAGCTCACCAGTCACTCCTTGGAAACCCTCCCTGTACAGGGTTGCTATGGGTTGGGACCGACTCGATGGTACTTAACAACAACATGGTAATTGTAATAGTCTTCTCCAACACTATAATTCGAATGCATTCATCCTTCTACTGGTCTGCCTTATTCACTGTCCAGCTTTCAAATGCATGTGAGGTAACTGAAAATCCTTCTGGAGAGTAGAACTGCTCTCTAGGGGTTCTGGGACTGTACATTTTTATGGAAACTGACAGAGACAGACTCATCTTTCTCAGAACAGCTGATGGATTTGAAACCACTGGTTTTTTGGTAAACTGTCAAACACTTAACGATTGTCGTTGCTAAGTGCCGTGGAGTTGGTTCCAAGAAACGGTTGGTGAGTTTGAACCGCCAACCTTGTGGTTCAAACCGACTTTTTGCTTCTTGGACATGTTTAATGTTTATCTGTAGCCCTAATAATTAATTAAGTATGTGTTTTGGTAATTTTTTTATGTTTTCTGATTACCTCCAGGAAGATGTGCTCAGGTTGTGGTCTTCCCTTTTCATGCTTCTTAATGCTTAACTCAGAGTAACTTTTTTGAGCCTCAGTTGGGCCTGGGCCTCAGCTGCAGGCCGTTTGGGCCTCTGTAGGGCGGGTTGAGCCTAGGGCGGGCGGTTTGGGCCTCTGGGGACCTGGGCATCAGCGACCGGGCTGCAGGAGGGTTGGGCCTCAGGCGGGTGGTTTGGGCCTCGGGTGGGCGGGTTGGGCCTCTGGGGGCCTGGATGTCAGTGACGGGGCTGCAGGAGGACTGGGCCTCGTCAAACCGACTTTTTGATCCAGTATTTTATCCCACAGCGCCACCCCAAAACCAAAACCAAATGCAGCCCCATCGAGTGGGTTCTGACTCACAGAGACCCTTAGAGGGTTTTTGAGTCTGTCGACCTTTGTAGAAGCAGAAAGTTTCATCTTTCTCCCGAGGAGTGGCTGGTGAGTTTGAACTGCTAACCTTGCAGTTAGCAGTCCGGTGCTTATCCTACAACACCATAAGAACTTCTTAAATGTCTATCTGGGTTTCTCATGTTGAATTGTTGTTGTTGTTATGTGCCGTGGAGTCGGTTCCGACTCATAGCGACCCTGTACAGGGTTTCCAAGGCTGTAAATCTTTACGGGAGTAGAACGCCTCATCTTTCTTCTGTGGAACAGCTGGTAGTTTCGAACTGCTGACCCTGAGGTTCGCAGCCCGATTCGTAACCACTATGCTATCAGAGCTCCTCATGTTGGATAGTGCAGGTGTAAACTCATAACATGCTACCACCTTGATTCTGCTGGTAGAAAATTCTTTCTCTCATTCCACCCAAGACTAAGCATGAGAAGATCTCCACCTCCATTTCTGTCCCTGGTTTCTAGAACTTTCTACAAACTTTTCCTCCTGAGAGGTTTGCTAGTCCAGCCCCTCTCCCAGCCTGAAGTTTGCTGAGGCTCCAAATAGGACTTAGAATCGGACAACCCTGAGTTCTTGGCCTAGTTCATTCCACTGCCCAACCTCCCTGGATCTCAGTCTCCCCACCTAGAAAATGTGTGGAGTCCCAGGTGTGGTAGTACAAATGGTTAAGTGCTCATGCATAGCCGAAAGGTTGGTAGTTCAAACCTAGTTAGGTATCTCAAAAGACAGGCCCAGTGATCTGCTTCTAAAAGGCCTGCTCACCTGGGGTCGCCATGAGTCCAAATTGAGTTGACTACAAAGCAACAGTTTAATAATAACCTGGAAAGAAAATGGCAGAAGCCATTACACACAACCCCATTCACATCACAGTGAAGAAACAGAAAAATACTTACATTATGGCATGTACAGGAGTTCTGGTGTGGAGCTATAGGTTAAGCACCGGACTGCTAACCACAAGGTCAGAGGTTCAAACCTACCAGTCGCTCCTCGGAAACTTAACACAGGATCACTATGAGTTGGAAGCAACTCAATGACACTTAGCAACGACAGCAACATAGGAGCCCTGGTGGGGTCGTGGTTAAGTGCTCTGTTGTTGTTGTTGTTGTCAGGGGCCATCGAGTCAGAACCAACTCATAGCGACCCCATGCACAGCAGAACGAAACAATGTCCGATCCTGGGCCAACCTCACTACCGCTGCCACACTTGACACCATCAATGATGCCACCTGGCCAATCCATCTCGTTAGGGGTCTTCCTCTTTTTCTCTGACCCTCCACCTTACCCAGCATGACATCCTTCTCCAGTGACTGTTCTCTCTTGACAATGTGTCCAAAGTATGAGAGACGAAGCTTAGCCATCTTGGCCTCCAAGGAGCACTCTGGCTGCACTTCTTCCAAAACAGATCTATTGGTTCTTTCGGCAGTCCATGGCACTTTCAGTATTCTCCTCCAACACCACAACTCAAAGGCATCCATTCTTCTACGATCTTCCTTATTCACTGTCCAGCTTTTGCATTATATGAGGTTATTGAAAATACCATGGCTTGGGTCAGGCGCACCTTAGTCCTCAAGCTGATATCTCTGTAGCTAAGCCAAAAGGCAGCAGTCTAATGGCTCCATGGGAAAGGAGAGCAGTTGGTTCCTATACTCTCGGAAATCTTAAGGGGCTGTTCTACTCCGTCTCCTGAGTTGCTA